GGGGCTTATCATAGGTGCCAATTAGCTTCCAATTAGATCCCAATTAGTTTACCTTTGTTCCCTCCGCCAAAGAATATATTTTATTCTTGGATCTGCAGCTGGTGGTAGATGCCAAGAAAACCAAGTTTGTCAACTTCCTTCCAGTCTGTTTGTTTACTTCCTGTTTGTTTACTTCCTTCCTGTCTGTTTACTTTCGTGAGATGTTTGTGATTGAACGTTACAAATGGAGACAGAGCCAAACTAGCGAGCTTTATGCTAAGCTAGGCTAATCAGCTCCTGATTCTGTCAGGTAAAAATCATCTCTTTTGCTTTCTATGCTCCTAGTATAATAATCATTCCAGATTTCCAGATGTGTCTCAACTTTAACTGCACCTGATTTACTAAAGGAGGGAACAGGAATCACGAGTTTGATGAAAGTGTTTGACCCCCCCGACCTTCCTGCCTCTGTCATAGACACAGAAACTCTCCACGAATCACAAAGTGAGTATATGTACACGTCCTGCAGTCACTCAGAGAGTCTGGTTTTTGAGATCAAACATAATTTCCTGATTATCAAAACCTGGATCAAAACGATATCCTGTTTTTTGGAAACTGACAGAAAAAAACTCTGATTCATAAAAAGGTTTGATTCCAAACAACTTAATTTAAATGAATGGATTGTTTGACTGTTGTTGGTAATGTGTGTCTGTCAGCAGATTACATCTTCCTGTGAATCTGAGGATACTGGTATTTAGCGTGTACATGTACTCACAGCAACATTTAAGATTATCACATGCTCATCTGTGTGACATGCAGCGAATACAACACTGACATCTTTCTGTGAAGAAACCAACGTGAAAAAAGAAGACGTGTTTAAAGATGAAGACGTGTTTAAAGACGTGTCCGCCCTAACAAGGAGCTACCTGCTGACAGTCGGCGCTAACAGAAGGAAGATCGTCGGACAGATCGGACGAGACGTTATGAAATCCTTCTCCGTCTTTGGAAACGGAGGACAGGTCTTCGCAGAGGAACGACGGACTAAAGCTCATCTCCTCCGTCTTGTCTTCTCTGCTATTGTCCTCCGTTAGCATGTTAGCACGACTTTCAGGAGCTCTGCCGGACTCTTCTTCGCCCGGCGACATCGAGTCTGGCTCATCCAAACTTTCCCCAAGGTCTTGTTCTTCTTGTTCTTCTTCTCCGTATGAGTTAATGTCGGAGAGATGGTGGTCGCCACCCGGGGAGAGACTGGAGGCCTCGGCTGACTCCATGTCCACAGACTGAGGCTGAATCCAAATCAAGACGTTACATTTCCAAGACGTTGAGACAAAACTGATGGTAAAAATATCCATGATAAAATGAGAGGGATGAGATGGAACCAACGGGACGGCAGGATGATTCACGCTTTGATTTAAAATGAAAGGACTTTAAAATGTGATTTTATACGGCTAACACGTCCAGCTGACACTGGGGTCTAAATGAAAATATATAGTGATATTCAAATTGAAATGAACCGTAAACAATCAGAATGTAACACGTGGTGTTTGGACAGAGGGTCTATCCAGTGAGACCCCCGCCAGGGGTTTTTGTTCCTCGTTGGGATAAACCCTGTGACGTTTAACAGAGAGACGGATTCTCAGGGTTTTTCACAACAGACATTAAACATAAAAACATGAAGGAAAAAATTAATCACAAATCTGAACTGAAGCTCAACAGGAGGAGGAAAGGGTCTAAATATATTTGTATTTAGTCACAAATACCTTTTGAAACTGAATAAGCTAGATATGAAGCAGTATCTTTTTTCCTGATGTTGTTTCCTTCGTTATTTAGTATTCCTATTTCCTTTCTTTATCTATCTGTACATCTCTAAATAAATATCTATAAATAGAGTTTTAATTCAGATGTTTTAGTGAAAGGAAGTGAAGGGTCTCCATCACTAGCTGCAGGACTCAGCCTCTGGTGGACGTTAGGGGAACTGCAGGTTGATTTGATACACTGTTAGCAGAACAGGCAGACACTGCTGTTTCCAGGTGGGGGGGTCCTGAATGGTTCAGAGTCTCAGTATTTAGAGGAATACAAAATGTTATGAACAAGTTGTGCATTCTCTGATTGTTAACTGGATTGATGGACTTATATTATAACACCAGAGCTGCATCCTCTCAAATTATCCTGAATTTTATTGTGTTTTTATTGTGTTTTTATTGTGTGTCAGATGTGTCGTTAAGTTTGGGCTCTGAGAGGAGGGGCTTCCCAATCAGGTTTCTAATTAAAGAACATCAGCAGGTTAAATGTATGTTGGATCCGATTTAGATATATTTTCTATTCCTCCTCCATTCCTCCCACATGTCTCCCCCCTGATTGACCCCCAGATGGCGCCCTGCTCACCTCTTGACCCCCGCTGATCTGCATGGATTGGCCCCCGCTGATCTGCATGGATTGGCCCCCGCTGATCTGCATGGATTGGCCCCCGCTGACCTGCATGGATTGGCCCCCGCTGATCTGCATGGATTGGCCGCCGCTGATCTGCATGGATTGGCCGCCGCTGATCTGCATGGAGCTGCTGGCGCTCTTCATACTGCTCATACTGCTGCTCATGGCGGTCATACTGCTGCTCATGGCGGTCATACTGCTGCTCATGGCGGTCATACTGCTCATGCTGGCGCTCATGGCGCTGAACCCGGCCTCGCTTCTCTTCCAGGGCGGCAGAACGTCTCCGCCGGCGTCCGCCAGGGAGCGACTGCTGATGGGAGACATGGACGGCCTGAAGGGGGCGACAGAGAGCTCAGTTACACATCAGATTCAGATCCAGATCCATTTACTGTCCGTTACACAACATGGAACCGATTCTCAAACCCCTTCATGTATTAAAGAGACTCAGTGGCCATTTAATAAAAGTGGTTTGTTCTTCGACCGGCGTATCGTCCAGTAAAACAAACTGGTCGAAAAACAAAAAATGTTCTGAAATACTGTATATACAGTGTCATGTAAATAATTCACTACTCTTGTGAACCTAAGAGTTTGGTAAACCAAATCTAGAGTCAGTTATCTCATCACACAGTGCTCTAAGGTGAGTGAGATGCATTTCTAGCAGGACCAGAGACTGTGCTGAACATTTTGATATGTAGCACATGGGGTGCCATGTCATGACAAATACATTTAAAAAGTAATTTAAGGAAATCTAAAATGTGAGAAATAACCCTTAGACTCCAGAGGGTAATACACATTCAATAAGTGTTGGTGTTGCAGAAGTCCTCAAGGGGATCCAGGAGGCTTTAAATGGGGCTGAAGGTTAAAGTGGTTGCACGTAACATTCGGAGTAATGCAGACTCTCAAACCAAAGGAGCATCAGCTGTTACTCCTCTTACACTCAGAGATAATGTTGTATAGTAAATAGGATGCATCACAACCTGCGGCACAAATCCATTTCAATTATTCTGGAGATGAATAACTAAAAGCTCGGTAAGGTACACATATTCACATCAACTAGTTGTTAATTAACATGCATATTCATGTAAATGTAGGTGTTATGAGGTGTTCCCCCACCTGGATGGTGTTGGTGTTGGCGCCTTCACGTGTCTGACGGGGGACGGGGATTGTTGCCGGCCCCCCCCCACCCTGACGGCCAGAGAGGACTGTGTTGGGGATTTTGAGGGTGGTTTGGGAGGAACTCTGGGGGGGGTCTTATGAGCCAGAGTCAGCTCCCCCCCCTCCACGTGCATCGCCATCATGGACGACTGGAAGCTGGCCTCCACCCTCTGAGGACAAAGGGTTAGGGGGGTTATTAGAAACAAGAATTAAAATCATCGTGTTTATTGTTTATTTATTTATTGTTCCATACCTTCTCCACTCGGGTCTGACGGGACGACATCACTGTCTTTGTTTTCTTAGCTGGAACGGCTTCTTCACCTGAACACACACAAACACACACCTTAAAGCCAAACTGGACCAAACTCCATGTCCTTATGCTAAGCTAGGCTAACAGTTTCCCCCTGTGGTGTCTTTATGCTAAGCTAGGCTAACCTTTCCCCCTGTTTCCCGTCCTTATGCTAAGCTAGGCTAACCTTTCCCCTGTTTCCCGTCCTTATGCTAAGCTAGGCTAACCTTTCCCCCTGCTTCCCATCTTTATGCTAAGCTAGGCTAACCTTTCCCCCTGTTTCCCGTCCTTATGCTAAGCTAGGCTAATGATGTCATGGGTGCTCAGAGATCAAATTAAAACACCAGGCTGCTGCTTCAGTTGTAGATCTATAGATCTACAGTTCTCTACATGTCTGTGTCCTGTTGCTGGGAAGACTCCCTCACCTTGCACCAGCAGCTCGCAGGTGGAGGTTGCTCTTCCGCTGCTGTTGGTGGCGGTGGCAGAATAGTTCCCAGAATCCTCGGGGAAGGCCTCAGCGATCAGCAGGCTGTGCATCTCGCCCTCCGTCAGGATCCTGAAGTCTGGCGAGCTCTGGATCTCCGCCCCCTCCCTGAAGAACCTCACCTGGGGGAGGGGGATACCTGAGACTCTGACGTCCAGCCTCACCTGGCTGCCCTGGAGCACCGTGGAGCTCTGGAGGCGGAGCAGGAAGCTGGGAGGGGCTGTCTCCGCT